AGCAACTAATCAAATCAATATGGAGGCTGCCAAGCGGAGAGCAAGGCACCTAGATTGTGGGATGGCTGCCTGGTTCACAGCCGCCTCTGCCCTTTTGCACCTGGACGTGGTTTTTCATGGCTGTAAGTGATGAGGGCCAGTAGTGCCAATGGTGGCGAGATCTTTTTTTAGTGAGCGAAGGATGGAGCGATTGTGAGACAGGTAATGATATCTGGCATCACCCAGTGGCCTAAACAGAGGGAAAACCTGTGACCTGACAAAGGCTGTCTCTTAAAATGTGTATTTGCATGAGAGGAATCTGTGCAGTCAAAGTGATTTTTTATTTTTATACATAGCAGCTGTGTCCACCTGCTAACATCCACCTGTGAGCGTAAACACCAAGAGTATCCATCTACTACTCTATCTGTGTGACTCATATATCTTGAGAACCCTCCATCATATCAGCTTCCCACCGGGCATGTGTATTATTAAGGGTCCAAAGAAGTGCAGTTTCGGATTAGGTCCGATTTGGACAAACAGTGCATTCATATAAATAACATTTGAATAAAGGGTGACCTGCGCTCTGTAGCAGCAGGGGTCAGGACGCATCAACATAAGTGATATTGTCGATCTCGACAACAGTGTGTTCACCACAACTGCAAAAACAGCTGATTCTACAGTTTGGGGTTCTGCGTATTGAATCGAGCTTCACTGAACTTTGAATAAACAAGTGAACAGCTCTTTGTGCAGCAGCTGTGGTGAGGCTTTAGGATTCTGCAGACCGAGTCCTGAAGTTGGACTTTACTTGACATTGTCAGGATGAACGATGCAACCGGCATCACCACAGACCAGGTAAACAGCCCATTCCAAACAGACACGTTTAGAGCAGGCACTGCACTTGTTCTCATAAGAATGATGTGTCAGTGAGGAGGGTGCAAAGATGCACATCTTCTTCTGGATTCACACACTTTTTGCAAATAGATGATTTTTACTTGAATTGATGACACACACACACACACACCTTTCGTCATCCCACCGACACACCTACCCTCCAGCATCCCCTTGAATCGTGTTAATTACAGAGAAATCTGATGTGATGTGTTTTGCCATCTTCACAGGCACCCACATACACTGGAGATGAAAGGCTGAGCCACTTCTGCTCTCTCATCTGCCTCAAGAATCTGTCAACACATCCTGACCTCCCCTGGAGGCGTCCAGCTGAGCCTGACGTCTTCCAGAGCCCGAGGGCCCCCCGACTCCTACAGCTGCTACGTCTCTCTCTCTCTGACAAACACACACAAATACATGAACACTCAAACGCACATTCAATTAAATAAGTACACACACATAAAAGCACAAACATTCACATTCGCCCCAGAACATTAATATCCTTTCTTTTCCAGTCATGTGCACATGTCACACAGGCCCCTGGACCATCAGTGTTCTTCAAACCCTAAAAGTCAAAGTGTTCATCTGCATTTCTGGCCTCTGATGGATACGTGTCTTTTACCAGGATGATGTAATCGGGAGGTGTCATTTTTTTACAAAGCATTAAGTGTTGACTGGGGTGTTGCAACAGGTTACACAAAGCAAGACATTGCCTGGGGTCGTAAACTGAGGGGTGGCCTCAGGCAATGACATTTTTCAGAGAACCCCCTTAAATTCTATGATTGGCTAAGTTCAGGAGACAGCAATGATACCATGATTAGAAACCCCCCAACAACAAGGCCCAATGCCACTAAGGGCCTGATCTTCTAGAGGTCTGCACTTGTAAAAACGTGTGCAAACTTGATTTCACCCACAGAAAAACATGCAAGCTGATCCACCAACGGTGCACACTAAATGGATTGCCTGCAGAATAACACGCTGTTCATTTAGTACATTTGTCTTCATGAATATCAGGCGTTTCTACCCGAGTGTGAGATGCAAGAGTAGATGCAAAAACTTAAATTTTGCACACGCATTGTGATTTACAAAGCCTGAAAAAAATTGTGCTGATTGCGACTGCGTCTATATTTAATAAAGTTAGGTGCTAATCGGCACAGCGTTGCGCACAGATGGCTGCAGTTATTGTGGTGAGGAGGAGACGGCATGGAAGAAGATGGAGAGAACAGTTTTTTTCAGAAAGTGAACTACACCTGCTGCTCAATATTTTTTCAGCTATTTTTTCTTTTGTTCTTCTTTTTCTTATGTCCTGCCATCTTCTCTTAATTTCATTTGTTATTCCTTTTTGTTTTACCCACAACATTCACTTTCTCGCAGACACTCTCCCATATCACGTTACTTTGAGTTATATTAATATTTCTTTGCTGTGACTCAACTGCATGTTTGTTTGCCTCTTCACTAACACCGCCAATTCCATGGCATTTAATTTCGCGTTGCGCTTGCTCTGCTCTCCGTAATGCTGCATGATGGAAACCAGTATCACTTTTAATTATTTTTAGTAGATCACACGCAAAACGCCCACCAACCAAACGTGCAATATGTTAACATGCACACGCATTTAGCACCCTTTGTTTGGGATCTTAGTAGATCAGGCTCTAGCTCTGCCAAACGCTTAATCATTTGAGAGGTTTGGTTGAGAATGTGGGGTTGGGTCTCGATGTAGGGACGCCCACAGGTCCCTTTTGCCTGGGGACCCTTTAAACACACACGTCCGGAGAGGGCATTGGCAGCAGTGCAAGTTACAAAACTGTAACTAAGCAGCAGTCTGTTAACATGGATTTCTGTTCATGTGCATCTATCACCTACTGGCAGACGATCAGTGTCCCTGAACACAAAACTCAATGTCACAGGAAACTGCTATCATTAAAAGCTTCCACAAATTTCACAAATACAGCGATGGAGAAGAATAAAAAAACCAGAGGAAAGCAGATTGTTCTAGAGCAAAGATAAGACGGTGGTGGTGAGGTAGAAAAAAGGGATGCCAAGCTAAAAAAGAATTTGCCTATCATTGCTTTTGGAGATAAAAATTGTATGTGTTGTAAGGATTTTATTCTGTAATGACCCTGAATCCTCAGATTGCTTGGAGGAATGTTGAAACCATTAACATGTTTTAGAAAAAAATTAAATTTTTTTCATAATCTTTGTCAAGAATAAAAAGGTTGTGTTCAGAGGGCATAATAGAAAGACAACATGTTTTATTTTTGAGGTGGTGACAACACGCAGCCTTAAAGAGGAAATTTCACCACCTGCTGATAATAAACTGGCTCGTATGTTGGCAGATGGGAGCCTGGAGACGCCACAGAAAATGTCTGTGAAGTATATGATGCATGAAGAAGCTTCAGACTTAAAGGAGGTGGATTTTTTTTTTTTTTTACAAAGGAAAATATAATCATTTCCCTACCTTGATTGATGAGTGCAGGATCTAATACTTACATTTAATCAAATGCTGCAATTAAATGCGATGCAGTGCCAATGCGATAACGTGATGCAATGCAAACCAATGCAATCAGATCCAATGAAATGGACCTCACTGTAAAAATTGCTGCTTTAAAGGTAATTTTGTTTCTAAATCACTTTTTTATCTCATTTGTTGAAATTCTCTTCATGTCCTGATAGCCATCAATGAATAGTCTTCTGAAACGATTCTGCTGCCATGGCCCTCAGGACTGAAATAAACATGACCAATCATTTGCAGGTTTCCTGCCTTGTCATCAACCGACCTGCCTGCAAATAACCACACCCTTCACAAGACGTAGAGACATACACAGCAGAAGCAGAGACGATAGTCGGACGTTGGCAAGTGTGTTGTGGAAAAGTCGTCTTCTAGCAGTTGGCACTGCACGTTCATGTGTTTTGGGGGGGTAGCTTTGACGAGAGAGCTGATGGGAGGGGGTCGGATGTTTTAGTTGCATTTCTCAAAGCTTGGCTTTTCCAATTTCCATTACCAACCTATAGCGTTAATCGTCCCTTCACATAGTGAAGCTTTAAGGCAGCAGGAGGTCGGGGTGTTTAGTTGGGAGCAAGTGTGTTTACACAGGAAACCAGTTCTCACCTGTGCCACCAACCCCAGAGCGATCGGTCTGTGCAGACTGAAATATCTCGATAAATATTTGATGGATCGCCATGAAACATTGTGCAAATACGTATGTGCTCCACAATGTGAGTTGGGAAGAAAGTGGTCACCAGGAGATAAAAGCTTGGATAGTTCATCCAGCGCAACCATCAGGTTAAAAAAAAAAGGAGAAAAATATGATGGAGAATTTTCACACTCAGATGCTTTGGCCCTCTTCACAATAAAGAAGAATAAAGACACTAACTGCCATAATTAAATATTACATCACATTCATTTGCCCGACACTTTGGTACAAAGGGAATTGCCTTCACATTGAAAAGAAACAAGTGCTAGACGACGGTGTAATGGTAATGACATGGTAAATGTTGTTCCTGCTAAGCATCAGCATGTTAACATTTAAAGCATATTAGCGTGCTTACATTAGCACATGGCTTAAAGCACAACTGTGCCCGGCAGCCTCAAGAGCAGCACACTCTGTCTCGTTTTAACCCTTAACCACAATCTGTGTCTGTCCTCAACCAGGCAGCAGCACATCAAACAGCCTGAGTCACAACTGTAATGGAGCTTTTTTTTTGGGGGGGGGGGGGGTCTTCCTCATGGCTCATGGGAGCGTCAGACCAGAAAATGTTCTTATGGATCCATTTGAAAGGCAAAATATCCATCAATATATATTTTTTTTTTTGTTATTTACTTTGAATTTACTTGTTAGACTCAGAAAAATGGGATATGACGATTTTACATGAACAACCATTACTTTCATCATTAATTATTCAAGCCTGAACAGTAATTGGTTCCTTCTCTGATTTACCGTGGGCCATACCGTTCATCATCCACATAAGAGGCCAAACTGCACCATAATGCTCAAGGTGATCTATAGCGGACAAATGAGAGGCCTAATTAATAACAGCGGCCTCTTGCTGGCACCTCTTGGCCTCGCCGTTATTATATGTGCATTAACAGCTTGTGCCCATTGCCTGCTAATTAACCATTGCTTAACATGCAGTGAAGGGTGGAGGAGGATGGAGCCAACGCAGCAGCAGTGGCAGCGGTGGGACCCCCTGTGAGACACCTATAAGATGGGACCCCAAGAAGCACTGTACCCTTGGGGACAGCCTGGGACTGCAGGGCAGAATGGATGGCTGCGTTCACGACCATAAATTCAACACTCCCCTAACTATCCCATTCATCATATGCACACCAGACTCCTCCACACCGTGAACATGCCAGCACCAGTCCTACCTCCCTGGTTCGTCCTGTAGTAAATACAGACTGAGATAGGACAGAGAGTGAAAAACATGAGATAAGTGTATCAGTGAAATGACCATATGACAATGCACAGCCCTCTATTTCTCCTTGGAGTGTACGAATTCATTTGTACTGGGGCGGGGACACCAGTCCTCTCTCTCTTTCGCCCTCTGTCTCTCTCTCTCTACAAAACATACATTTTCATATCTTCCTCTCAGCTGGTCACCATTTATTTCAGAATTTCCTCGACTCTTTGTAGATACGGGGTGTGTTGGAGCTGTGCTGGGTGGTGGAATAAATCACATGGCTGCTGCAATGCAGAATATGATCTCATGCAACACCAGCACAGTAACACAAACAAGATGTGTTTGTGTTGTTGCAGAAGCAGCCTTCCCTGAGACTACATGTGCAACCTCATAAAATGAAATCACTTGTTGTTGCTGTTGTTTTCACTGATGCAACAGTTTTTTTTTTTCTGTCTGGTTTGTTATTCTACTTGAATGTCATTAATGCAGATTTATTGCGACGGTGGATGCTGTTGATTAAAGTTGAAATGATTCCTCTCTTTTGTCAAATTTTTACAAAAACCCTGAGTTTGCTGTTGAGTTGTATTTATGAGGCTAAATGTGCAGTGAAATGCAAGCACCTGCACGTATGACGTAAGAGCTCACAGAGCAAAAGTCTGAGAAACACATCAGAGCAGAGAAAATGTAAAGTTAGGACTCTTGGGTTACTTGTACGGGGAAATGGACTTGATTATAAAAGGAATAAATAAGTAATTATGATTAAATATTACATTACAAATTCACAGCTGTCGATGAGTTCATATAAATGAGAATTTGAGAATATATATTTAATCATGTTTCATAAACCAGTGTGTGAATATTTTATATGAATGAAAACATGTAATGTCACATTTTTTTCTCTAAGCTTCTTTGCCTTTAAATTCAGCTCCCTTCTATGTGTGAATATTTTATACATTAGAAAATGTATATTCATGAGTTTAGATTGTTGCTCTACATATTCACAAAGTCACTTTAAGCTCTATGCATTTTCCATAATATTGAATGTATTTTTTTTCAAATAACTCTTGTAAAAGGAGTCAGCTTTGATTTCCAACTGTCTTTGTTTCAGACGCCTTGTTTGAATAATACAACTTTATTCATTGCATACGTGTATAAGCTAAAACTTATGCATCTATAGCCTCAATTCTCTTCTACACATCTCTTTTCAGTTTTCCATTTGTCTGTGTTTTTCGCCCTCATTTCTCTGTGACCCTCTAAGTGATTTATGGCGGCAGAAGACAGTCTGAAGCTGGGTAAAAAGAAATATCTTTCTTTTGAATGAATCTGCATTTCACACTTTTGCTGCTATTCCAATATTAATTCTCTTATCTCCGAATCAATCATAATTAGTCTTGCTGCTTGCCAACCAGCCTGGCCTGAATGCAGTATGAGGACCAGGGACAGAAGAGGAGGAAAACCCATATAAAGACGTGTTTCTACTGCCCTCAAGTGTTTGCCAGAGGAACTGTAAGAACAGAAGAAGCAGAAAGGGTGCTGGTATTAAGAGCAGCTAGTACCCACAGTACAGCTGGACATGGGGGCTCTATGAAAAGTGATGCAAGGACTAATAAGTTTCTAGACTCCCACGGTAGGTTCCTCAGTTTTTTGTGATAATGGTTGGGATGTTTGCATGAGGACCTCGGTGTCAACTGCAAGATGTTTTCCTCCTGCCAGGAGCTCCATCACCTGCAAACTGGGAAAGATCAGCAGAAGAGGACAAGTCATTTCACAGTGTGCTCATTTTTCACAAAGAGAATTACTCCAGGCGATGGAGATTGTGTCTGCAGAATGACAAGGGGTTAGCAAGCACCACGAAGATCAATGTGGATAATGGAGTGGTGCTGTCTCAACACCAGGGAAACACATAACAAAGTATGTGTTACAAGTGACCAGAGCTGAGAGTATACTCTCAGGAAAAGAATGAAACAGAACATTTCAATCCATATAACTGTGGACAGACAGAATCGTTTAAAGGGCCATTTCACCCATATTCTGATGATATTCAATAAATGCACTTTAAGCAGAGGGATAAAAGGCAAAATAGAGAAAAAGACAAAACGACAATACCCTTCAGTTTTTTTGCAAAGCTTTTAAATCTGAAACTGTTTTAAATTGGGCAAAATATGGTTTCATTATTTTTAATGTATTGTAAATACAGTTGATAGTTGATAACGACATGTGAGAGTGTGTTTAAAACCTGCCTCACACTGGAAATTTGATTGAGTACATTTAGGTTAAGATGGATTGTCCCAACTCAATTAGGCAAAACATCATTTCTGAGCTCCAGGTTAAATTCAGGTTAGGTTAGGTTGGGCTTAGGTTTCTGTTATGGTTAACTTTTGGTTTAGGTTAAGGTTAAGGTTTAGGTTTAGGTGTAGGTTTAGGACAAGGTTGGATCCAGGTTTGGGTTATTATGGTGAGAAATCAAGGTACACATGAAAAAAAAAATAAAACAAACAAGGTTACATCTGGTGCCCAGGGTGGAAGTTGGTCCTGAAGGCTGCTGCAGGTGAAGCTCAGAAGGTCAGACAAAAGGTAAGTGCCATTACATCCTAAATGCCCCACAGACATGATTTAAGATGAGGTTTAAGTTAAGCTTTTGTTCATTAGTCATTCGACACATGAGCATGTCATCCCGTGTCATCATGTTTTCATTAGTACAATATTTTTTTGACTCACTCGTTCAACAAAGGCGTGTAGAGGCACGACCATGTTGCTCTCTTGCTCCTTCTGCTTCTGGCGCTCTCTCTCTATCAAAGCGGGTCAAACAGCAGGCTTTTTGTTTCTGTATTAATGTATTCTGTTTGTTTTGTGAGCCACACGTCTCCTCTTCTCCACCACAGTTGTGCTTTAAAACCCTTCAGGGGTATCTGAGGGATCCAGCTGACAGATGGTGAGGGCTGGAGGAACGTGTTGGAGGATTGTGGACTGCGACCCCCCGGATGTTACGGTGACGCGCATTGTCTTCAAACAGACTCCATCACTGTGCAGGTGTGTGTCTAACTTCAGGTGTTTTCCTCCTCCAGCCAGAGCATTTATTCCTGCTCACTGTTCCAGCTGTGTTAATACTGCTTTAACTCCATCTAAAGTATGCTCATGAAAGATGGAGGGATGTGTTAAATATTAAACATTGACAGTCAGTTGAATATTGGATCCGTAATGATGACATGACCTGTTAAGATGCCTGGAGAACAAAGCTACTTCAACTGTAGCTACCAAAACAAACTTGGATTCTAACCAACTGATTATATGAAACTTGGTAGAAAGATGTGGCATCCTGGTGCAGATCTGGATTTGGGGGCAGATCCAGGAAATTGTTTCACCTTTCTTTTCACCCTCTTGTTAACGGTTGTCCTGTAACCAGAACCAGTCTGTGGTTCGATCCCCATCTGGTCTATTGCCCCTCACAGAAAAAAGTGCTGCTCATAGATGCACTTTATGAATGTGTGTGTGAAGGGCAATAAACTGAACTGTAAAGTGCTTTGAGTGGTCATCAAGACTAGAAAAGCTTGATATTAACACAAAACCTTTATAACTGTTTACAATACTGTTTGCACTGTATACTCTTAATCCTGTTTTTATCWGCCATATTATATTTATACTGTAATTCTGTTAATTCTGTTAATACTGCCATATTTATATTTATATTATATTTATATTCCACTGACAATTCTGTTTATATTTATACCATTCATTCTGTTCATCCCACCACATCTGCCATATTTACATTTATACTCTTTATATCATCTAGATTTGCCACTGCCTGTTTATATCTTTTAATTACTTATATTTTTTATATTTTATATTTCATGTTTAATGCTGTTTGCACCAGGGATTAGAGGGAAACGCTATTTCAATTCTCTGTATGTCCTGCACATATGGCATTATTCATAATAAAGTTGACTTGACTTGATAACTTAATTTTCCCTATTTTAACTTTGAAATTGCACCATTATTTAGTTAGAGGCTTTAAAACTAGCTTGTGGGTTTTCTTCCTCTTCCTGCACTGTATATTATTCATCCTGTCATTTTCTTTGCATTTTGTTAAGTCTATGCAAAGAAATAAATTACAAAAAATACAAATTACAAAATGCTTAATGTCATTAACAATAGATGAGAGCAATTAGATAAAGATTTTTACCACATAGTTGAGTGATGGTTGATGAGTCATTTGTTTTTTTTACTAATATCATTGTAATGTTTTCTTTTTTCTGAAACAGAAATCATATTTTTATTTTCTTGTCTTATTGTGTTGCAGTGGAATTCAAAATAACCTTGAAGCGCAGCTCATTCTCATATGAAATAAAATAATGTTCAGTATTGCTGTGGTTATTATTACCCCCTCATGTGATATTTCAAATGTCTTCAGGTTCTCGTGGCATTTCACACCTTTATTTTAAGTTTGGGTAAAATACTAATCTTGAAATGCTAAAATGGCACCAAAGTTCATCACAAGGAATTTGTTCTAAAACCCTGATTTTCTTATGTTTCTCCACTGAAGAGTATTTTATCGTCCTCCTGTAGTTTGAGAGCTTTTCAGGTCATATATTTTAAAGCCCTTAGTGCTTCATTAGAAAAGTGAAGAAAAAGAAAATAGAGACAGATGTAGCCAGGCTTCCTGACAGATGTGGAACTCACCGTTTGGTCAGTGCCTTCAAGATACTCTTTAGTAGACTTTCACCCCAGCCTCTTTCAGTCTGTGCACACATGAAGCTCTCAGAAGACCAAGCATCCCAGGCAGGTACCATTTTAAAAGGTTCCTGGGAGTATCAGCTGGTCTATAGACATGTGCATATGTCTGTAGACTCTTTGAAACACTGTAGTATCTCCTCTTTCAAAATAAGAAGTATCAAACTGTTTACAAGCTACCTAAATAACTGATTTACTCTGTGCAGCCAGTTCAGACAT